TTTCCAAGCTGGGGCATCAACATCTTACAAGAGGGCATGTGAGGATGATGAGAGTGACTCTGAATGAGTTGAAAAGTGCATTAGTGTACTACTTTGTGTACTGTTCTGCATTATTTCATGTAAGGATGGTGCATAAAGTTGAGCTGGTGTTGAACCCTTCTGTGATCTGTCTTTTTTTTTCAAATTTTTCTTTTTTTCACCATAGAAATCAAAAGTTGCGAAACCAATTAAAATTTTTTACATTATTTCTTAAGGAAGAGTCGCCCCCGACTTACGGACCGCCCGACTTAAGGACCGGTCCATTGCACGAATTAAGTCCGTAAGTCGAGGGACGACTGTATATTGTACAGTCAACCCCCTTAAAGCAGTAGCAGACCTCCTGGGCAATGGACTAAATCTGCTCAACAGACTTCTATTGGTTTAAAATTTATGTTAAAAATTGAAAAAAAAAATTATTTTTCAATTTGCATGAAAGACTTTTCAGACTAGTCTGTTGCAAAAATTAAGTCCATTGTGCAGGGGTTGGCTGTAATGCTCAATGTAAAATTTGTCCTTGAATTGTTTAAAAGTTATATACATTTTGGCCATCCCAGTTCACCTTTTCTGTCTGCTTCACATGATCAAAAACTATCTTCATGCATAAAAATTACTGAAAAATGTATGGACACTATTTTGTTGCATTAATGGCAGACCGGCTCAATATATCTTACCTGCTTTTTTTTTTGGCAAGAGGAAAGCCAGGAGACCATCAATAAAATTAAATCCTGGCACTAGAGAAAACTCTGAAAATCTCCCCAGGATTTGTTCATTCTGTAATTCAATTTAAAGCTAATTACTTGAAACCCATAAAGAAGTTTTTATTTAGAGAGAAGAGTATCTTATTTCAACAAGAAACACACAATTCAATAAATATGATAACCTCCCCCCCCCCAAAAACAAATACAATCTTGATCAGCATCAGTGTTGTGATGTAATTCATAATTGAAACCTGTTCATTAAAGAAAATTTAACCTGTAAGATGAATGAATCTTGTCATTTCAAACCTGTTTTTTGGTACTTTGCACGGGCACTAACATTTTTGTGTGTGGTTGATCGAAGGAATTCTTCACACGAATCATTTTCATTCTATTTATCAGAACCTTTGTTTTCATTCCTCACATTTTGCCGCATTTTTTCACAGGAATGACCATCATCAGTCACTGGATATTATTGCAAAATTTCCAGTAATGATCAATTCATCTGATAAAAATTTAGTAGATTAAAAAATTAATCTAAAAAACCATGTTTTCAAAAAGCAAAAAATAACCTTAAACGTTATCCTGAAAGTTTCAGCTTGACAAACAGACAGACAGACAGACAGACAAGAAAAGTGAGTTCATAAAAACGTGGTAATAATAAAAAAGGAAAAATTTATCACCGCACATGAAAGATGCGAAAAGAAAAAAAAGTTGATCATCACAGTATCCAATTACTGAAAGTCACTTCATATAGCATTCTTGATTCTTTTTCAAATTCCTGGAAATGGGAATAAATTAAAATTGAACAGGGCTGTTTATGAATGAGCAAGTACTGTAATATTCGACCAAAGGCGTTTTCAGAATTCAAAAAAAAAAAAAACTTCTGCTTCTGTACAGTACTCGTACTCAAAATTTACAAATCACTTATTTCTCCAAGTACACGACTTCTCGCATTATCGCAACAGATGGAATTTCCATATGTACAATACATAACTGGAAGTAAAAAAGCCCCCTTTTTAATGGACGACTGGTTGACTCGTGTTATCACCAAGTTGTACCAAACAGACACCATCAGCTTCCCTCTTGATCTTGACTCGTGTTTTTCCCCATACATTTTTAGAAGAAAAAAAAAAAACTTCCTGGAAAATGGAATGACTAAAACGAGAGACATTCGCATAGTAACAGAAATAAACTGGAAAAAAGCAGCAATTCTTTTCTCCACCACATCGTCCTCCTCCTTAACTTCAAACAACGAAGAAAACATCTCACTTGGAGGTGGGGGAAATCACTTCCTATTTGAATTTAAAATACATGCAGATTTTCCCCTCCTTCTCTGCATAATATGAAATGAACATCAAATACTGCAACTTTTTTTGCTGCGCGACATATACAATATAAATTTGAAGGTTCAAACGATGCAGTCAAGAGTCCAGCAGAGGTTGAAATGTGAGACGATAATTTGCCATCATTCAAAATGAAATTATTTATATTTACTGCAGGTTTTAACGAAAAAAAATAATATCCCAAGGTTTTGGCTCTTTCACAGGAATGAGAACCAGACAAGGGGAAAATAATTTGATTTTTCCACACAAAAACAGACTGTGTTTGTATTGAAGATGAGATGGGATTCTTCCCACGGCAGCTTCTTTATTTATTCCTTAATGCCGTTTGTCGGTTCATATCTTCAACAAACGAGGAAAATTGAGTCAGATAGTGTAAAGACAAAAAAAAAACAGACGGAGTTTAGTAACGACAGAAAAGTCTTTGAACATGGAGCACAGTTAAAGCCGCTCGTAGGCTTTTACAACTGTTAAAAGAGAAAGGGTTGCGACCCTAAAAGGCGTCAAAGTTCAAACAATTCCACTTCTCTCATCGGCACTCTTTGTGACTATAAATTTGAAAAGAGAGTTTCAGGGAAAAAGGTTTGACATTTTGTTGAACTTTTCTGTTTCACATCACGAAAAGATTCTCTCGGAAAATAAAGCAAGTCAAACAGGCGGAATAATTTAACTTTTTTGACAGGCCGGCGAAGAAAAAAAAAGGAAAATTTCTTCATATTAAAAAAAATATAATCAGCATTCCTCTCAAATTCCCAAGTACAGTATCTTTCCTTGCATAAATTTAAAAAATGGATTAATACAATCTAAATTCTGAATATTTCCTAACAGTTTGAATTCTCTCTACAAAGTACACGCGGAATTGTGACAGAAATGCTGAATTTTTCAACTGCCAGAACCTTTTTCTCTATTTTCTCCATCAGTCCATCGAAAAAAAAATGGCAAACAAAATGTTTCATAAATTATCTCACAAAAGCCCGAGGCTAAATCATTAAAAGCCTCGCGTAACTGGGACAACCTTCCCAAGAAAAAAATATGACATGAGTATTTCACCACGAGGATTTTAATAAAGTATCACACAAATACACTTGGCAAGAACAATTTGAAAAATCATGAAATGCAGTACAGTATGTCAAAAAAGTGGTAAAATAATTTAGAATTGAACTGACAACACCAGCGAAATAAATATATGTTTACATGAAAATGTTATTCGCGATCCTTTCTCGACATTTTGAAGAGCTAAACTTCTCTCAAATCATATTCACAAATGATTGAATGACTGAATAAAAATATATTTTCATACAAATACACTTGGCAAGAACAAAATTTCCCATTTTATTTTTTTTTAATGACTGAAACGTACGATGTCGAGAGAAATTGGTTGAATCTTTTAGAATTACTTTGTCAAAATCTATAAAAATTTATATTTCTAAATGAAAACGTTCTTCGAGATCCTTTCTGAACATTCTAAAGAGCTGAATTTCTCTCAAATCATATTCACAATAAATGATGGAATGCATGAATAATAATGAATTGTCATACAAATGCTCTTAGCAAGAACACATTTTAAATTTAAATTAAAAAAAACGCAGTCTGTTGAGAAAAATTGGTAGAAAAATTTAGAATTAAACCGTCAACAACAGAAAAAAACATGCAAACGTCCACATGAAAAATATTTTCGAGATCCCTTCTTAACATTTTAAAGTGCCCAATTTCTCTCAAATCATATCCACAAATAATTGAATGACTGAAATAAAAAATTTGACAAGCTTCCTCAAAGAGGGAATCTCAGGAATTCCGACTCCCTGAAAGGACACGACACGACTGTCGAAGAACGACTGTCGAATGAGACAGAAACCATCGACAGAGAAGAAACAAAAAAAAAATAATAATATGCGATAGGAAAACTTCCCATATTTTCTCCCCAGATTCTCGCCATAGTTGAGGAGATGACACGAATAAAATCTCAGTCACGCGGATGACAAAGAACTCACTAGAAAACATGGGAAATTACTCGCAGCAATCAAGTCTAAATTATTATTTATTTTTTCCAATTCCAATAATGCAAGCGACACAAAACAAAACAAAAAAACAGCCGAAACATTTCCAGCACTTTGGAATCCCGTTAATTTTAAACGGTCCATGTTTTTTTTTAGAAGGCGAGGTAAAAAAAAACATTATCACGGCCAATGCTTTTATACAGTAAAAGCTCATTACAACGAACTTCCAGGGACCTGAAAAATTCGTTGCATCGAGATTCATGGTTTTCACACATTCTAAACTGACATTTTGTGGGGAATGGGGTATTCTATACAACAGATAAATCAATACCGGTCATAATTCCCAAGTCTCTCTGATGAAATCAAGCAGACAATTTCTTGAAAATATTGAAAAGTCATTTTCCTTTTACTGAACCTACCTTTCTACTAAAGAGCTGCTTGTCTTGAAAAATAAAATGAACAAAAGTATGTGTGGGAGAAATGCCTCATGTTCAAAATGATTTTATTCAATCATACCTGTTTCTTCTTTTAATTAGAGGAAAATTATTTCCAACATAGTTTACATGAAAAAAGGCTTAAAATCTTGAATGGAGCTAAAGAAACTTCCAAAAATATGTCATGTAGTAAAGTGTATTTTTTTACATTAAATTTTTCTAGAGAATGCTTTGCTTTTTTAATGAAGTTAAATGGTGCAACTTTTTTATATTTCTTCTGAAATTTATCAAACAATCCCTATGGCTTATACACAGAATCAGGGACAATTTGTACATTCAAGTGCGATAATAGCTTAAACTGAGTTCAAACTTTGTTCCAAAAATAATATACCGCGTATGCCTCTTTGATAACCCTGGATCTTCTTCAAATAGTTTCGCTCTAAAAACACTTGGTTTAAAAAGACGTAAATTTGATTTGGGGTTTTGTGAAGGATAAAGTGTCTGACCTAATGATTTGAATACTCATCTCAAGTGACTCTCATTATTTTTCAAGTCAACGGAATTCCACCTGAAAGTTACAAAATATGATTTAAAAACGGATTTGATTACACTCTGAAACTGGTATAAAAACTTGATAAGTTTTTACCAACCCAAGAGGAAAAAGTGAATCAAGTCCCTCTTTCTGAAGTACGGCATTCAAATAAATTGAATTTTACAAAGTTTATTTAAAAATATTTCGGTAGAGAAAATAGCAAGAAAAAAATCGAATGAAGCAATTTCTAGCGACGAATTTCTCAGAATTCCAGCGGAAGCTCGGAGAAAATAAAAAAAAAAAACCTCGAAGCTTCAAGGCAAGAATTAATCAACTTTTTAATGATTCTTTTTGACAAATGAACCACCACGGGGTCTCCATCACACAAATTCCAAATGCGGTTTGCAGCTGACTCCCTTATATTATGCAATAAATTTCGCTAAAAATAATTAACGCAAAAAATAATGACCCCATCAAACATCTCGAGAAAGACGAAATCGATTTTTTTTTCATCCATTTTGAAACTTTCCTTGACGCTTGAGATTTTTTTTCTGAAGGCCAACGCGTGGAGGGAAATGATTAAAATTTAACTCGCTGTGAATCTTTTAACGGTAAGAGGCATCCATAATAAAAATCGAAAGTTAGTGCGACCTGTAAACGGAAAAATATGAGATTATAAATACACCAGGAAGTCCAGAAAGTGACAACCCCATGGAAAAGTTAGCATTTCATGTAGAATTTTTAAAAGCACGAAGGAAACGCCTCAAGAAGAAAGCGTGAAAAAATGGGCGCGGAAAATATTCAAGAGGTTTCAAAGGAATTTATTAAACCAGAAACATGCACAAAATGTCATCAACTTTTTCGTCCTTGGCCAATTTCAATCCGCAATCGTTTGCACAAACCTAAAAAAAGGAAAGCTTTTCAAACAATTGAGAATGTTTAAAAGTAAAATAAGTAATTTTCAAGTAATCCTTCGTTTCTTTTTCCGATCATTACCAAATGAAAAATTGGAAAGTATTGCAATTGCATTTAATTTCGCGATACAGTACGTTTTCATAAATTGACAAGGTTCAAACAAATTTGAGACCTTTTTTTAGCCAAATGACAGAAACCTGAAAATTCCTTAAAATCTTCTTGCAAAGGAATTTCAAGGTTTGTGTCTCCGAAATTCCGACCGATGAAAGGATTAATCGAAAATCGTTTCAGTCGTGATCCATTCAAGTTGAAAATTTTTAAGTGACATAAAACGGAGGGACTGAATCAAATTAAAAATGGAAAACTATAAAATTAAATTGCGTCCTCATGCACAGCAATATTAGTTTGAATTTAAAATTACGGTTTAATTCGGAAATCATGATTGGTCATTGTGACTCAATTTTGACTTTTTTTTTCAATAAAAGTCGATGTCCTTGGAATAATTTCTGCAATCAAACGCGTTCTGATCATGCCAATCAGCTGATATAATCAAAAGGAAGAATAAAATTACAATCGTACTTCATATATTTCATGTCTTCATTTGATTTCATGAATTTCGTGCGGGAAAAAAAATCTAGCATGGCGAGAAGATTTGAAACGCATTTCAACTGCGCGTTCCTCAAAAATATTTCATGTTTGAAAATGAAGAATTGTACGCCTTGCATGTACGAAAATAAAAACTTATTTTCAATTCAGGAAAAGTTTCCTTGTCAAGCCACTCAGAGACTGGTACCGATGAGTTTTCAATTTTCAAGGAAACAGTATCGAATCCAACTGCTTTTTTCCCCATTAATATTGAATTTCACAGAAAATTGAGTCACAAATTTCCCCAGACATTTTTCTATCGTTTGGTTAATCAACCTTGAAAAATAGCCCCACTTTTAATTTATTTAATGAGAAGCATTTGAAAAAGACATTCACATTTAACTGGAATTAAATACTGTGCAGTAAAGTTGAACCTTGATAAGTCAAACCTCAATAAGTCAACGTTTTGAAGCCCCTCTCTGAAAATGCCTTAGAAGTGCATCAAAAACCTCCTTAACTCAAACATTTTTTGGTCTCAAACCTCCATAACTCAAATTTCCTGGAAGTCTTTCGGCTAATAAATTTGGACATGGGTGAGAGAACAACTTTATTTGAGCCTTTTTCAAAGGAAGTCAAAGACTAATTAACCCTTGCCTCCAAGTTCAGCATTATGTCAACTCACTTAAGATGCAATTCAAGACCCAGATCACCAATTACAATTTTTTTGCAATTCTTCTTCCTTTTTCTCAACACAATGACTTGTTCTTTTCATTACTCAAAACCTCACTGAAACTCGGAATTTATTTTTCCTGGTTCTTTGAAGTTCAACTGAATTGACAAACAAGAATTTTTTTGAAATACTCCCCCCCCCCACTTTCAAAAGCAATACAGGTGGTAAATCACAATTTGACCTCCCACAATTTGAGAGTCAAATTTGCAAAGAGGTTGACTTGCAATTCAACTCTTGCCCCAAAAATTTGACCTGCTTTGGCCATTTTTGTGCATATACAGTATTTTTGAATTTGAGGGAGTTGTCGTGGGTCAAATTGGAATATTCTATGAAGGTGTGAAACCTTCATGAAATATTCCGCAATTATTATGAAGCACATCAAAAGAATTCTCATCAAAAGGATTCTCATGAAACACCAAACACAACTCCACGAACCTGGCCTTCAGGTTCATTTCCATTGGAATGGACCTGAACCTCAACACACAACCTCATCAGCATCACTACTACTGTTGCTGAAGTGTGACTGCAAACACTACTCCAAGAAAGCTTGCATTCTGTGTCAAAAACATCGAACATATCTTTTTGGAAATAAAACTTCAAAGTTGAGGACTTCTCCTCAGGCCGCAAACAGCCAATTGCCCTTGTGTCATTTTTTCACCTAAACCTATTGTCTTTGTCAGTGGTCTAAGGACCCTCGACAGGAGTGTCTTGCAATTTGACTAATTTGCAATTCAATCTTTTCCCAGCAATTTGACCTGCTTTGGCCATTTTTTTGCATTTTTTTGCATATACAGTATTTTTGAATTTGAGGGAGTTGTCGTGGGTCAAATTGGAATATTCTATGAAGGTGTGAAAACTTCATGAAATATTCCGCAATTATTATGAAACACATCAAAAGAATCCTCATCAAAAGGATTCTCATGAAACACCAAACACAACTCCACGAACCTGGCCTTTAGCAAGTAAAGGTAACCTTACCTGGACTTGGAGTTGTGTGTTGGAGTAGTCGTAGTGATGATGACAACGACTTCACACTGGCGTTTGTGATGAGGTTCTTTCGAACGTAAGACACAGTTTTCGTAGTTTCATATCTTTTGGAAATAAAACTTCAAAGTTGAGGACTTCTCCTCAGGCTGCAAACAGCCATTTGCCCTGGTGTCATTTTTTCACCTAAACCTATTGTCTTTGTCAGTGGTCTAAGGACCCTCAACAGGAGTGTCTTGCAATTTGACTAATTTGCAATTCAACCCTTGCCGTGCAATTTGACCTGCTTTGGCCATTTTTTGCATTTTTGTGCTTATAAAGTATTTTTTAATGTAAGGGAGTGTCTTGCAATTCAACTAATTTGCAATTCAACCCTTGCCCTGCAATTTGACCTGCTTTGGCCAATTTTTTTTTGGCATTTTTGTACTTATATTTTCCAACTTTACAGAGTGTCTCGCAATCTGACCAATTCGCAATTCCACCCTAGTTTGGCAACAGATTAGGGCCAAATCGTGAAGTACCACCTGTATTTAATTCCTTGGACCAGTAAGTTCACCAAAATACCCTTGACAAATTGCATTCTGGATTGCTGAACCCTATATATACACACACACACAGGTGTACCCAGAAGAAATAATAGGGCTTCCTTTCCCCCCCCCCCCCCGAGACGTTTTCGTCGTGTCCCACACGGACCTTTAATGAACCCAGGTTTTTTCTTCCAGGGTTCCAAGAGGTTGTACAGTAAATATATAAAGGGACAACCCTGAAGAATAACGGGAACCTACTTTCGGAATGACTGAAGAAATGAAACACGATTAAACAAGGTGTAACGAGGGGAATGAAGGAGGTGCATAAAAATACTGCTGTAGAACCAAATAAAGAATGACGAAACCCTATATTGTATATAGATACTGTAGTCATTATTCGACCTCGAAGGAAACCAGCAAAGAAAAAAAAAAGAAAAGAAAGAAAGAAGTAGTCACATGCCTGAGAGAAGGAATCCGGAAAACCAGTCCCAGGAAAAATACGGTGTCAGTCAACCCATTCTTATTTTCGGGGAAAACAAAGAAACCCTTCTTATTTTTTTTTGGGTGCCTATAGTGGGAATGCGTTGCAGACACACAGACCCACACAAAGGAACCCCTTTGCCAAGTTTTCCTTCCAATCCCAGCCATGTTTTTGTCAAAAAAAATTAAACATTCTCAAAAACATGCATGATAAAGGAAGTTCTTTCAGAGAATTTATCTATTGTTTGGGTATACAGGTGTAAAAACGAGTGTAGGGTTTATCAACAATTCGAAATTAAATTTGTCAAAGGAACTTTTTGTGAACCTACTGTGTACTAAAATTGTTTATGAAGTTGTGAGGGTATTTTTGTGTGTGAATAATCGTCGCTTTTTGACAAATGATCGTCGATTCGAAAGCTTTGAAAAGTGTGGCTATTTTTCAGGGGAAACAATTTCGGGGAATATGTTCGATTCATAATTTTTCTAGAAAAATTCATCCAAGGTTTTCACCCAACAATGCTTTGATGACAAACACATTTAAATTAGCCTTGAATTAAAAAAAAGCGAAATGAAAAAAATGTCATCCATGTCCAATCTTGACTTTACGCAGTGTTAAACCATTCTCGTTGTTTCAAAAATATAGGATTAGTCAAACAAACAAAAATGATCTTTACTTGCATTTTAAAGATGGAAGATGCACCACAATTCATCCTCTTCTTTAGCACCTCCAGAAGAATCGCGAAAAATCGCCGAAATTGCTACTTTTTAAATTGAAGAAAGTGGCCTACACACATTTTGAACGGTTATTAACAGCGTTTTCTTAAAAAAATATCCAGCCCACAAAACCTTGAGGAATATCGCTACTCAGTTTCTTTGTAAATTTGTAAAAAACAGAGGCGTTGATCAAAAATTGTCCATTATTTTTTATTAGCCCAGAAGATCTTGAACGACGAGAACGAAAGTCACAAAGGTTTTCCCCAGAAACTAAAATTAAATCTCTCTCGAAAATACCAACCCTCCACCAAAATATTAAAAATGGACGAATATAAATTTTTTTATTTTGAAATGAGAACATAATCTCGTCGTGAAGAAATTTCTCAACTTTCTTTACAGTATATTTTTTCCTTTGAAAACTATCCACAGGTTCAAAATATGCAAGAAGCAAATAGACAAAATTTTTCCGGACAGCCGACGAAATCTCAATAAACAGCATCGAATTTTCAAAATTTCCTGGGCTATCTTGAAAATGCTGCATGTTTTTTAAAATTTTTAAAAAATGTAATATACTCGTATGAAAGGTTCAGAAAACCTCGTGAGACAGACGAAGAAAATTATTTCCGTGGGCTGTGATAATTTCAGATAAATTATCGGCCCCGCCCTTTAGCTTCCACTAATTCCAAGAAGATGTCACCCCACGACGTCACCAATAAATAAATAAATAAATAAATTCAGTAAATAAACGTAAAAGGAAAACCCCACCTGTTGACGGCGCATGAATTGAGAGAAGATGAAGGAGGAGGGATTGTTGAAGCACAGGGTTCCTCGTCCACGACGCCACTGTCGGTCGACTCCAGAGCCACTCGTTCCGTCGTCAACGTCAGCGTGGACGCCATCGACATCTGCGACTCTGGCCTCTCGCAACTGCCGACACCTTCGTCATCGTCGTCGACATCATCATCGATGAACCGCTTCTGCTGCACCTGCAGTGAAGGAGCAGGAGGCGGCGGTGGCGGCGGCGGAGCGGGACGCCGTTTCTTGTCTCGCTTGGGTCTCGGTGGCGGTCGTCGATTACCGCCACCATCATTGACGTCGTCGTCGTCGTCGTCATTGGTGTTGTGATTGCGGCTATCGCAATTGTCGACGATTGGCGAGTGGTGACGAGGTGTCGAGGAGGTCGTCGTGAGGAGGACGGGAGAGGAAATGACGACGCGACTTCGACGGTATTGTGGCGTCGAAGTGCTGCTCGGGGAGAACACCGAAGAGGCGCCCATGTTTGTGGCGTCCTTCTCCTTGTTTTTGTTTTGTTTGTTTCTTCCTTGGTAGAACTCACGAGTTTCTTTCAGACACCATGCATCACTTTCCTTTTCGAAATTGACACACGGATTTCAATGACAATTTTCCTGCAAAGAGACAAAAGAAATCATGAAATTTTTGAAAGCTAAAATAACATTTCATGGGATGCAAATTTTTCATTGTTTTTATGAATGGAATATGCAATGTTTTTTTCGAATATTAACCAAAAATAACTGCTTGGGTAATTCTAAGTAAAACTTTTTTTTGCAGACACTAAGCATCATTTAAAAAACAAATCAAAATTGACACGATGATTTCACAGCTTCCTCAGTTCAAACTTTCTGCAAAAAGCAGAAGAAACGAAGAAAATTTCGGATGCTAGGAATGAAATGTTACGGGATTCACATTTTTATGTGTTTTTTGTCGCTGTTGTGGATAAAATATGCGTTTCTTTCAGAAATTAACCAAGAAAACATTAATGAATAATATTTTACGACACCTTAGATTCACCTGCCAATTGCATTTGATTTTTAAAAAAAATCCCCACTGTTGTAAAAATTTGAACTTGAAGAAAATTCAACATCTCACTTTTATTAGGGAATCCTTATATCCGTGATTCAAAATACTGTATTGACTCAAAAGCTGTTGAAAAATTGTAAAACTTGCCAATTCTTTTCCATGTAGTCTTTTATAAAAATGTCAACACGAGAAAATCCGAGAAAATTGAGCATGAATAATTATCTTGAATTTTTCTCGACATGCTTTCGCTCTTCAGAAAAAAAGGACTCTTCCTAGTCCAACAGCCTTTTTTGCTTAGTTTTTTTTATCTCTTTTCTTTATACGGTAATTTATCCTTTCACCGCAAATGTTGATCACATTTTGAAATCCAGAGCTTCCGGTAACTCCATGAATTCCAAATTATGCATTTTTCTCTTACGATGGGTCATCTCTTGTTTTATGACCGGAATAAATCTGGGGAAATTTTAGTAGCGAAAGAATGCGAGGAGTCTTTAAAATAAGTTCTAGTCATAACTACTGTGCTTCTTTCAAGTGCGAAGTTGAAAGAGGTCTTATACCTAGAGTATTTTAAGTCTTAAAGACCGAAAAACATGGCCTTAAATAGGATTTTTGGCTGCGGGGGAGAAAAACGCAGCTTACGGACATGCACAAGAAAAATGGAAGAAATTATTCATGTTAATTTAAAAAAAGACAAGTTCATGTGCTAGGCCAGAAAAATTAGTTGACATGTCAACTTAGTCAAATCAGTTGATTTTGAATTTCTCTCGTACGCCCAAAAGCATTGCGACAAAATTATTTTCAAGAAAAGTTAAAAAGTATCTGCTTTTGAGGAAAAAAACCATTTTTCCCCTTTCACGAAAACATAATAAAAATTTTAGAAATTAAATTTCCAATATGCTTCGAAGACAATCAGTCACCGTTCAATCATGCTGAAAATGTCACGAAAAACGCGCCTTTCGAGATTGTCAACATTACTGAAAAAATGGGCGTTTCTTTGCTAAAAAAAAAGAACCAAGAAAGAAAAAAATTAACCAGTCTCTTTGGTAAAATACCGCCAACGGGAACAAATTGACTCTGGAACGAGTTCTCATATATTCAACCACACCCAACAGTGTTTGATGCTGGCAAATTGAGCATCAGGCAACAAAATCAGAGATTGATCGCAAACTTCCATCACACAAATTAAATGCCTAGTCAAGTGTGATGAGTTGCCCCAGAAAAATCGCCCAAAAACAAAGAAGAAACATTATATAACGTATATTCCATTTTGAAAATGTACTGGATAAAAATATTGTTTGATCCATGAGTTTAGAAAAAAGGCATGTGAACTTCAAATTTCACACCATGAAAGAAAACCTTTTTTTGAATAAATCAAGTCATCCAAAAAATCCACCAAACTTCAATTGCAATGTTTACTTGAGTACAAGAGGTACCTTTTCTCTCAAATTTGAGAAGGGAAAATGGGGTGCACCTCATAGGTGGGTATTACATTTTTTCAAAAAATGTTTAAAGTATAGGAGAATATTATACTTGATGAATGAATGAACAGAACACTTTATTTGCCGCTTTTCAGCGTTCACAAGGTTCAATCAAGATTTCCACAACCAAACCCCCTTCCCACCCAACCCAAATCCACTCAATGACATTTAATCACTTCAGAGCAGGAAACAGAGCACAAATTGATAACAAAAATAAAAGAAAATACAATCCATGAAATACAACTGGACATCTGAAATGTATGCATACACCCATTCATTTCCTGACATTGGAAACAAAATATACGTAGAAATTAATTTAAAGCACAAGGTCTACAGCTTGTTTCCGTTATACTTGATTTGGACCACATTCACCAGGAAGATTTATTATACCTGATGGAAATTTAATCTAATTTTAGCTTCAATTTGTGTTAAAATTGAAATGACTGTATACTGTATATCCAATTCGCATTTCAATAAAATAATAAACCACATACAGCAAAAGGCTTCTGGCACAAGACTGATCAGAAAATGCATCCAGAACTTCTGAACTCCTCGAGGTCACATTTTATATTGAGACTCCGCCCGGATTCTCGCGATCGCAAGACAAAAAAAAAGAAAGGATCTACATAAAATAAATGGGTAGTAAAATACATCAGATTGACTCGACTTTACAGATTACGAATTTATTGATTCGTGGGAGTTTCTTGGAACACCTGGACACAACTGGTGCTGGAAAGGAGCCCGAGAATCAAGCCCACCATAATTCACGGTTCATTTGCTCAATCTTTTTCAATACGTGAAAGAACCCGTTCTAAAAAGAAAGAAAACTTACGAGTTTCGCCCACGGGCTTTAAAAAGCTCTAAACTCAATGAATGCATGTCAAACTATTTCAATCTCCAGACCCCCATAAAGCATTTCTTTTGAATTCTTGAGGGCGAAAAAAATGGGCGTGGTTACACGAGGAAGTAAACGGGCACTCAACAAATCAGCAGAATGAAATGAATTGCCTCGGACACACCAAGAAATCAAAAGGCTTCTTGAAATATTTAATGATATTTTAGATCAGCAATTCATTCGTCACACTTCATTCAATGACAGTACAGTACAAAGTTTCTCTTCAAATCGAGTGGAAAATTGCCTTTAGGCGAATATCTCAATTTCTTCGTGATTTATGCCTCACAAAGAATCAAATGTATTTAAATTCAATTATATTTCACACTAGCAGGCAAAAAATAAAATTTGTGCACTCTGAAAAAATACGTTAATCAAATCGATGAACTGCATAACATTCACGTAAGCTGAATTCGTTCTCTGAAAAGAAAATTTAAATTTTATACAGTTATGTGTTCAAGAAATCTGCTGGAAACGTCTATTCATTCCTATTTTTTAAATATTTAGGTTCATCATTTTACCTGAGTTAAAAAAAACTTGAGTGTGCCTGAAAATTCAGCAAGTTTCAGAAACGAAAAAAAAATTTTCGACACATTTTTCGAGGTCTCACAAATGTGGAATGCATGCGTTTTTCGCAGGAATAAAAAATCTGGGTGCTTTGGGAGATTAATTTACTTTTTTTTCGAGCAGGTATCAAACCCTAAAACAAGTTGGCGAAGTGTTTCAATAATTTATCTCCGTAATATTATAAAAACAACTTCAAGTGACCTCCCTCTGAAAAAGAAAAAAAAAGATTCGCGGCGAAAGATAATCTCAATTGTATCAAATATTCCGATCTTCCGAAATTATTCCGTGGAATCCAATACAAAATAATATGCATTCTTTGAACTGTCTGAACACGTGCTGGACAAAAACAAATGCGGTAAACTTGCATCACTGATCATAATCAGAGCTACACAGGTAAAAAAAAACCAAGGAATGCCAGATAAAATATTCTATCGCTTGGAAATTGTGGCGACAGAAAGTCGGGAATGATTTGGTCAACGACTGAAAACTCCGACAATAAGTAAATAAATGAGACAATTTTGAGAAAATGCAAATCCAAAAGAAAGTTTTCTCCATCAACAATAATACACATATCACATAAAAACTTGCCACGAAAAAAAATTTACATCACGCCAATTCTCAGTATTTTTCATACCTAATGCAAATATATTTTATTTATACGGTTTATCCACTTTGGAAAACTAAACAAGCAAATATTTAAATATTGTACGATATAATTATTTTACACTGCTTGGGTCTGAACTCGACTCAATCATTCATACGTTAATTTAAAAATGAAACGTTGAATCGAAATAATGACCAACACTTCAAACTGCCGCCTTTTCATGCAATGAGTCTTCATTCCAAAAATTTCTGTCGAAACACGTTAAAAATCTCCATATGAGTTTACTTCAATACCTTGTTCAATTCTATATTCAAACCGTTGAGCATCATGAAAAACTCGCGGACAGCAAAAACGATTCAAATGCAAGTAATTCCTCATGAAAAAAATTCCCATATGACAAACCAATTTCTGAAAATATTTTTTACAGCTACTCGCGAGACGTTTAGACGGTATATGAGTGGTATCAGAAATGCATAAAAAAATTGATGCAGCAAATGCAGAAGACAAGGATAAAGCTGAACGTGAGTCAGGAACCGCAAACACAAATTCCAGGAGTGACGGGGAATAAACAAGATAATCTGTTTGCGTAATGCCTGTGCTTCTGCTGCAATCTTGATTTTATTTTTTTCCTCCACCTGTGCTTATTTTCCGTTTATTTCGTTTTCATTTCCAGGCAGTGGAATGAACTCTAATGGGGTAGTTTTGGTGATATCAAGTGCTTGCGAGGGGTACTTGAAAAATCTTGTCGGTCTTTTGCTTAGGTAGAAAAAAAAATCAGGGTGGAATGTTTTTTGCAGCTAATCATCATTTTGATGGATTTTTCAAATCCTCACCAATCCAGGAAAAATACATGTGAGCGAGTAAAGAGAGTTCAAGATTCAGATTATTGAAACAAAAAACAAAATCCATAACTTCAGCACAAGTAAAAGAAGTAAAAGGGATCTTGAATTGGGGGAAAATACACTTCAACTTCTCCAAGTTGAATTTTCTCAAGTCAAAAAGCTCCTCACTCATCAATTCCATTGAATCTCTGGCCAATCCCTTCAGAATCACATGCATTTCAGACCTCACTAGCTCAAAATTTTTTTTAAATATCTGAATAAGAAAATTTGACCCTGATTCTGTGAATAGGCAATGGGTATACAACATGATGATTGGCAAAAAATTTGAAAAAATTGAACTTGTACAGCATTCCAATATCAAGGAATCAAAACTTTCTCTGGAGATATTTCAGTGTTAAATTAATACCCCCCCCCCCCCCCCATGAAGTAAAAATTTGAAATTGTTGTGGGCTTTTTCCTCTCTCTCAAATAAACAGTATGTTGGAAAGCGTTTCATATCACTTATTTTTAGAATTGGTTCTTATTACCCAATTTCCACAGAATTCCTGTCTAGAATGTTACAAAAATCTTGTTACAACACATTTTCCATTATAACAAATTGCTTGTCTGATCCTTTGTACAGGTGGTAACTCACAATTTGACCCTAATCCATTGCTGGACTAAGGTCAAATTGTGAAGCGGTTGAAATGCAAGACAATGTTAAATGGCATGTTTTCTGTTTGTCATTTTACATTTCATGCCTTTCCACAGATGAAATTGTGCAGCAGAGGTCAGATTGAGAGCTGACATCCCATCAAATTTGACTGTCAAATTGCAGGACAGTCAAATTGCCAGAGGTTGAATTGCAAGGTAACACCTGTAGTGTGTTGTTGAAGATTTTACTATATAATATTCTGCAAAGTGCCCGCAATTTTGCCATTCTTGAAAAATGAATGCAAGGATTCCTCCATTAGACAAATTGATTCAAGAAGGCCTTTATTGTGGACAGATTTTCACTGCAATATAAGTTGACGTTGAGTGTTGCAATAAAACACAACAATCAGTCTGGGACAGGACCAGGAATTCCTTGCAGGAATTCCTAAGTTAACAGGCTAAATGTATATTCACGCAGGTAAGCAATACTGCAATACATGACTCAGCAAATATTCTTCTCACAGGTAGGATAAATTGGTTGAAGAATAACTCAACTCAACTACTGATGATGATATGATTGAGCATGAGCTGCTTATATACTCACAAGAAATTTAACCTTCATTGGTTTCTACTTTATATGACAGAAAAGACCTTTAATAGGTCAAGAATCTAGAGTCAAAGATTGCTGCACTGGCACTGCAATTTTGAGGAGGGGAAACTACTGTATTAATAATTTCTAGGAATTTATATTTACTAATTAATGCGCGGTGTGCTTGCCCAACAGCCTCTTTTGAGACTTTCAAAAAAATGTTGATGAATAATTTCAAGTTTAACATCGCTAAAACTTTGGATCCAGCCCTTTGAGTGCTTTTCTTCCGCAGACGCCCGTCAAAACCCCCGAAGCAATCTCACAGACGAGTGGAAATCGAATGCGGAAATCCCTGGAATTTATCCTCTTGCTTGAGCAGCATTCTCAGGACAGTAAAGTACAGTACAGGAAATAATCAGCCATACCCTAAATGTAATCCTAATGCATGTCGAAAAGAGAGAAAATATGCTTGAATGGCTCACTTACGACCTTGTCTTAAGACACACACAAAAAATTAACAAACCACTCGGTCCAACAAGTCCATGTTCGTCCAAACGTTAAATCCCCGGAATCTGAATCACTTCGAGTACCGAGATTCCATCGAAGAAAGAAAGAATTTCCAGGTGATGGAGGAGATTTTTTTTAAAAATTCTTCTTGACATGAAGGAAACACGGAAAAAGTTGTATATGGATATCCGTCAAAAATATATTCCTTGTAGAATAAAAATAAAAACAAAAACAAGGTACGAATTCCTCCAGCCGGAAACGGAGATCCACAAAACGACTTTGTCTAATCTCATCATTCCTTCACAAGGCACGTACTCAGTTCCCCTTCGAGAGTAACTTCAAATTCTGAATATCTAAGGAAATATTTAGATTTTGTTCTTAAAATTTGACGAGGAAATCGCGCTCCGAAAACCAGTTCAAGGCATAACAAGTTTAAAACTTGTTCAATAGTGTTGCCAAGACACACAAAAGGTACACTTTGCGTGATAAGAAAATCAAATACAGCCTAAAAATCGACTTGAAGGCAGGTTTCCTTTGGAATTACTGTATAAACTATCCTATTGGTATTCCCTCCACAAAAATACTGAGTCTTCCTGACAGCAAAATCATTCTTCAGAGTTCCTACAATATAACACAGGTTTTTTCTGTCAAATTTCACCAAGATGTGTAAAAGGTTGATTAATGCCTTCCCTCATCAATCTGAAGTAATTGGTCATGGTTTGAGAATTTCAGAGGAATTTTCACACCAAATCATGCCCTCAAAACAGGTCCACAAAATATACAGTTAAAAATTTTATAAAGCACAAAAGTGCAAAACAGGGGGCCATGCAATAAGTCCAATAACACACAAACAAATTGAAAAAAGGCCTGGGAATATGGGCTTTGTTTTTCAAAGTGATTTTGTGATATTCACAGTAAACAAATTCAACCTTACTTAGTGATGTTCCAACATGTGGACAATTTGGCATAGGAACATGCTTAAACTAATAATCTGCCCTGAAATATGGACAATGTCTCAAGATATGGACACCTTGCCAAAATTTCTAGAAGAATTGAAAAATTTCATTTTTCAAAATTTTTATTTCTGTTGAACAAATGAAGCTATTCACACTCACAAACTTTAGAAATAAAATCTTTTTATAAATTCATTGATGATGCAAAATAGGATGATTTTGTGCCTCTCTTTTTTTAGATTTTTTCCATCATATACATGCACAGTATTGCAAGACTTATACAGTATGCTTGTTCTATGGTTTTTTGGTCTCCTTTTCCATGCCAAAAAAGGCAGATTCTGTTTGACTCCCTTCTGCACAGTTATTTTCTGCAGCTTTCAAGCGCTGGTGAAAAATAATTCAATTTTTCTGGCGAGAAATGTTTCCAAATTTTTCACAATAACCATTTAAATACGTTTGCATTGAAGTCACTGGAAAAAAGGTGAACAGAACAGCAGACATTCCAAAAAAAAAGGGACACATTCCAAGAAGCAATCATGTCCAAATACTGTATCAAAAACTTCCGAGCTTGAAAGCCATATAAAATATTTAATTCTTTCTGCTGAAAAAAAAGGATTATGGAATTGAGGCATTCAAATCAATGTAAGAGCAGGTGAAAGGTTTGTAAACTCATAAAGTGAATGGGTCCTTGTTTATACATAACAAATATACCCTGACCACATAAAAAAACCGGTCCCGAAAACTAAAGTTACTCAAAAATAAAAGCCCAGCGGGCCGAGGGATTTTTGAACGTCACGGTCGCCAGTGTTTCCTCATTATTTGCCTTGTGTGTGTCTCTTCATTTATTTATCTCTTCATCTTTACACTAAGGTTTCGTCTCTTTATGTTTTCGTAGATTGAGTAATTCCTGTGCTTGCCTTATTGTGCTGGAGATGCAATAAGTATACTGTATACATGAAAACCTTTGACTTGTTTGCACCACCTGCTCATCATCGACTTCCGAAATTCCTGATATCCCTTTTTCCTCATTCTCACACGTGGTGGATGCTATTTTTTTTTCATTTCCGTGTACATAACAATCTGGTTTGACTGCATGACGCAATCGTTAAATTCAGCTGTGGCTTATTTCTGCACAATCTTTTCTCATCGACCCGGAAATTACTATTTTTTTCACAATATCAGATCACGAAAGCGAAATGAAGCCATTCAAGAGTTGCTTCACCACGCAAAGAAAGAAGAAAACTTCAAACCCATACCAATCAACTAAAAAATACAGCATGGTCCAAATTAAAGTTATACAAAATATTGACGCGGTTTATTATCTCAATCTGCCAAATTTAACAGCATTTCAGAGAAACGGTAATACAGTACTTCATCCGGCTTTTTTGATCACAATGAACTTTCCCTCAGAAATTACACTAAAATTTCTTTAAAATGAATCTTGTTCAGAAGAATAAGTTTTTTTGTCCTGGCAGTTTTTTCATTGCAGGGAAGAAAATTATAAAAATGCAGTTACAGTATATAAAAGACTAATTTTTCTTTATACAGTAATTTCAGTATGAGGGATGTTTCCTTTAAATATGTGTGCATGAGTCGCAGACATTTTTACCAATTGGCACAAAATTGGAAAACCCAACTTGTACATAATTGAAAAACCTTCAAAAATATAAATACAGTATTTCTACGCAAACACGAACACACAAAAAATGACAAAATATTCCTCTCGCATCAGGATTGACTATTGCACAGCCAAAAATTTATTTCGAAATCAACATTTTGCTCGTTAGCCATTTTCCTTGAGAGAGAAAAATACGAAAATACAAATCCGGGATGACAAAACCCGCCCCGAAACGCACCCAAAAATTTCTGATGCTGAAACGAAAAAAACAGGGTTTTCCAGAAAAAAAAATTGGAGAAATTTCAAGTCATTTATATGTTTTACACAGAATATTCGCTTTCATAATCATTTTCAGCGTTGAATGAATCTAGATTAGGTGACAAGGCATTTTAAATTTCATGTGTATTACGCATGCAAATTTTGGATCTGCCAGCGAATAAGTATTTCATTTCGAATTTGGGTCGCAGGATTCACTCAGTAGGTTTCTTTTTGCCAATTAAGTCACAGTAAAGCAGAAAATTAAGTTTCTGGTTTTTCTGTGCATAAGAAAAATAATACCCGAATTCTCGCCCATTTTCTCTTCAAATGAATTTCTGTCCCTTAGTCAGCAGACGAACATTCGGCTTTTTCCCGTTTCTACGGCCCAGAAATCATCCCCCTTCTTGCTGCAGACTCAATAATGAAATTTTATTCTAGAATAAAAATGCTTTTTTTTTTTCAAGCAAAGCAGTCACGCGAAAGGATAACGAGAAACGAGGATTGGAATGATAATAACACATTCTTTCGGTTGTCTTCGGGATGAAAAGGGCGCATACACGAGGGGGAAATACAAAAGTTTCTACGATTCACAAGCAGCCGATTTGAAAAAAAGAGAAGAGAATAACATCAATTTTCGTTATTTGGAGAGGGAGACATGATCTTTCCCAAGAATATTTAAACATACTGATTTTTTCACGCGGGTTAGAGTTATTCAGAAAAATTCATTTGGTTGAAATTCAACTACAGTATTATTGTTCAAAAAAGTTGATTAGCTTAAATCTATTGTATTGCAGGATTAGTTGGGTGATTAGAAGCGTCAATTTATTCGAGTCGTGATTCTAATTCAGTAGATTCATCCCAAGTACAAATACTGTATCTGTACCTCAGCAGGTTTTTTTTAATCATGATGGAATTCCAAGTACAGAATAAAGTGGATTTAATTTATTAAATGTAAAGCTCTCAGTTTTGCGAAATTGAAACCTTTTCGGCTAGAAGAAGAAGCCAATAATTCACCTTTCTTATATGATAAAAACTGCTGTACAATATTCGAATTGCTTAAAAAATGAAAATGAAACCTTGTTGAAATTCACTCATTTTTCAATGCATGTATTTTGTTACGCACCTTTTTCCAACCAGAATCTTTCATCACAGTAGTCTAAAACCCATTTGCGCAATTTTTAAAACAATCCAGAAACTTCAGGCCACACTTCTAAAATTTTTTCGGGGTAGGAGGATAATTAAAATTTTTTTTTGAAGAAGTTGAAAAAAATAAAGAAAAGTAAATTGCATTTCAACATATTCGGGAATTATAGAATCCTAGTATCTCTCGATTGTCCTTCTGAAATTGCAGCTCATATTCGGAAACTTCACTTGTGCCCCTCGTTTTCGTGGGACTTGCTGAATACGGTTTCATCACGTCTTCATCATCATAATCATCATCATCATCCAAGGGAATATTTTTCGCACGCTCGTCACGAACTGCATAAATCTCGAAACTTTACGCGCTAAAGTCGCCTGAATCCAAAGAGCCGAGAAGTAAAAAGCCAAAGAGCCGAGCCCAGGGTTGCATCACATTATAGCGTGCCACAATTAAAACCTCGTTATCTGGGTGATAAAAGAAGCGCACTGCTCAACCCTCGTTAGTAGTACAATATACGGATACCGTATATAATTTAAACATACTGATTTTTTCACGCGGGTTAGAGTTATTCAGAAAAATTCATTTGGTTGAAATTCAACTACAGTATTATTGTTCAAAAAAGTTGATTAGCTTAAATCTATTGTATTGCAGGATTAGTTAGGTGATTAGAAGCGTCAATTTATTCGAGTCGTGATTCTAATTCAGTAGATTCATCCCAAGTACAAATATCTTTACCTCAGCAGGTCTTGTTTTAAATCATGATGGAATTCCAAGTACAGACTGAAGTAGATTTATTTTAATAGATGTGAAGCTCTCAGTTTAGCGAAATTGAAACCTTTTCGGCTAGAAGAAGAAGCCAATAATTCACCTTTCTTATATGATAGAAAATGCTGTACATTCGAATTGCTTAAAAAATGAATCCTTGTTGAAATTCACTCATTTTTCAATGCATGTATTTTGTTACGCCCCTTTTTTCAACAAGAATCTTTCATTACAGTAGTCTAAAACCCATTTGCGCAATTTTAAAAACAATCCAGAAACTTCAGGCCACACTTCTAAAATTTTTTGGGGGTAGGAGGATAATTAAAATTTTTTTTTGAAGAAGTTGAAAAAAATAAAGAAAAGTAAATTGCATTTCAGCATATCTGGGAATTAGAATCCTTGTATCTCTCGATTGTCCTTCTGAAATTGCAGCTCATATTCGGAAACTTCACTTGTGCCCCTCGTTTTCGTGGGACTTGCTGAATACGGTTTCATCACGTCTTCATCATAATCATCATCATCATCATCCAAGGGAATATTTTTCGCACGCTCGTCACGAACTGCATAAATCTCGAAACTTTACGCGCTAAAGTCGCCTGAATCCAAAGAGCCGAGAAGTAAAGAGGGTTTCTCGGCTCGGGTCCCAACGTAGTGTAATATCGCACGGTGTTAATTTTGGAGCAATAGACCCACTATTTTCTTCGCGTGACGAGTTGGGAGCAATCATCATGTTATATGCCTATGGCATATATTGAACCCTCTGACAATTGTGGAAATCAGATGATAATTGCATCCCAAAGTTCAACCAACTTGTTGAGGACAAGGAGACAGAGAGAGAGCGAGAGAATCAACAGGAGCGACATCTATCTCGCAATGTTATCTGACATTACCAAAAGTGAAGTAGGCAAGTACAGTACAGATGGTAAGTAACATGTCGTAATGTATTGAGGTGTCTTTCCCTAGTGCGTATCTTTTTATTTATAACAAGACGTTACATGACATCTTATATTTATAAAGTCTTTTACGAAAATGGGTGAGTAGTTTTACAAGAAGGGATTCTTGATTGATTCAACAAGCAATTCCTTTAGAATATGAAAATATTTTACTACAGTGATCAATGAATCATCAGATCATGGAAAACTGGAAAAAGCTCTCACAAAGTATTTTAAACTTGAGAAGACAACCTTCTCTTCAGAGTTTTTCTTCCAAGTTCTGTGCTATTCATGAAAATGAAACAATAAAACCATTATTATAAATACAGTAATTGTAAAGCATTTCAATTGAAACCTTTACTATTGTAATAGCTAGAACTTATTCAAAAATACTGAGGCTTTACAAGGTTCTATATTTTTCTAGCAACCCCTGGAAAGGTAAATTTGATTCTCTCAAGTACAATATATCAGGCCTTTTCAGTATGATTCACACCAGAAGAAACACTTGAGTTACTAAATTATGATTTCCTCCTGGAATATTCATAACTACAATTCAAGTAAAAAAAATGCACATATCTAGTGACACCAGCAGTTGAATAGATTTTATGGTACATCAAAAATGAAGAAAGGAAAAAGTTGAATCAATCCGTTCATCACTGTTCGGATGATTAAACAGTATATGGACTATATACTGGTCGTATTTCTCAACTGTCCTGCATGTTCCGTCAGATTCCCCCAGAAGTACAATAAAATTTGAGATTTGTGGTTTATGGAGCATTTCCAACCCCACCCTGACACGCGTATTTTTCTCTGCCGGAATTTTTTCATAATTTGAATTTTGTACCGAACAAGGTGCAAAACGCAGGCGTACCTGTTTACTAGGTAAGATGCTCAAAGGTAGATCGAAGTACGGTTCCTTAACTTACGTTATATAAAAACACAGGGATAAAATGTTTAGAATCCGTTTCTCAGAGATAGTGCATGCTTTGAGCAGCCCAGCACTGAAACTTGATGGCTTTTTTCCTTCAGGATAGACCATAAAAAAACTGAACTTTTCTTCTAAATTGTTTCGGCCAGAGTTTCCCAACCTATTTCTGCCCTGCCCTCATTCTAATGAATTAACTGAAAATAGTTGAATTTCCAAAAGGAATGTGTCAGGGTTGTCCAAGCATGTTTTACAAATTTTTCAACAGGCAAGGATTTTCTCTCAACAGTAATGTATATAAGGGTTGTCAGAGAATGAGCTTCTGTACATCAATCAATTCTCTCCAGGCAGCAGATGGATTCAACAGATACCAACTTTTTTATTTACAGTGTCTAAATTTTCTTCATATTTTGATATCCCTTTCATGGATTCGTTCAGTTATCCCACCGAAATCGCATTTACTCCCTTCCTGGGTCCGGGCATCAAGTCTAAAAGAAATACCAACGCGGTCCTTTAGTAGTGTGAACTACCTTGTGCACTTCTTATAGCCTTCAAGTATCTTGGAACGGTACTTGTGTCACGTATACTTCATTTGGCACTGGTTCTTTTCCTAGAAGAACTGCGGAAAATGGATGAAAAAAAAATTGCGATTCACGCCTAGGATTCATTGCTCTGAGAACGGAAGCCCATTTCCGGGGTTGCGCAGACTCACTTTTCCGCATCCCAGTACAACAGGAAAATTCTGTTGAAATAGAAGGTTAAATTATTGGCTGCAATTTTCCAAGTGTGAAGCAAAGAAAAACATTACCCTATCCTGGCAAGAAAAAAATCTTTGGGAATATTCCATGAAAAATCAAGATAAAATTATGTAAGGCCAGATGATCAAATTATTGACTGCTGTATTTTGCTTCTGCTACATTACATGATGAATTTAAACAAGTTTTGGTGCTGTGAATGGACAAAATAATGTACTGTACTGTATGTTCTGTTTTATAATTAAACATTCATTAAAAGCTATTCAAACACCATTTTGGCAAATAGGAACTTAGGAAGGGACATGAAAAATGAATTCCTTGCATAATTGTTTGCATTTATATTCATTACCACATTTACTTGAGAACCATGTGCACCTTTTTTCTCAAATTTCAGAAAAAAAGGCGTACGCGTCATAAGCAGGTACAAATTTTTAAATAAGTTTTAGGAAGTTATGTGTGCATTATACTTAATTATAATTGAAAAATGTTGAACAAATGTTACAATAAGAAAACTTTTTTGTACTGAAAAAGTTGAAAATTGATCCAATTTTTGTTCAATTCATGTCTGAAGTCAAATTTTTCGAATTTATTTTTGAAAGTTTGTGGTTTTAGATTCACTAAAAATTGGGGTGTGCATCTTTCTGGGGTATAAGATTTTAGCCAAATTTCCAACTGAAAAACCCCTGTGCGCCCCTTACTCAAGGGAGCATGGTACTTGAGTAAGCAAACCTACTGTACATGTGGGGCCCTGCAATTTGACCATAACAGATGGCTGCTGTCTAAGGGTCACATTGTGAAGTGGTCAAATTGCTCAAAAAAGCTTTGTTGTCTTGAAAAAAAAAAATGTTAGAGAGAAACTGAAGTATTACAAGTGAACTCTTTTTTCAAAACCAACTTGTTTTACATACAATTTTAGCTACCTAACAAATTTTTATTCAGTCCCATAGGATTTTCTCCTCCTGCTGTATGGGTTCTCTGCGAAGAAAATTGTCTCCACACACATTTTTTCTGCTCCCTTGAATTTTGTTGTAGACAGAGAGAGAGAGAGAGAGAGAGAGAGAGAGAGAGAGAGATAGAGAGAGAGAGAGAACCTGCCTAGTTATTAAGGTGTTGGCTCCATGAACCCCGTGGTTGTTACCTAAACGTTGGTGTCGGCGACTTCGCAACTGTAAATCATGGGGCCAAATGAGCGAGCTATTTTTACCCATTCCGAGTGTTGATAGAACCCCACTGTTATGACCAATAAGAATAAAATGAAAATGAGAATAAAAAAAAGGAGGAAAAAGGTGTATCAGCTGTTGTTTATATATAGATACCCCGAGCAGTTGGAATCGAGTCATAATTTGTCGGTTTTGTTTGGACAGAAATGACGGGGGAATTTGGAAAATTGTCGTTGCCTTGAAAAGGTTTGAACTCCGAATTTACGCGTGGAATTTTAGAATTCTTGGTTTATGCTGTTCACATCCAGAGACAGTTTATTCCTTCAGCCCAATTTCAAGTAATGCAATTAAGGAACTAGTCAAGCTAATGAACCCTTTGACCTGCCTTCTAAGTCTCAATCCAGGTCAAATTACGCAATGATTAAAACGATTAGCNACAGTGTCTAAATTTTCTTCATATTTTGATATCCCTTTCATGGATTCGTTCAGTTATCCCACCGAAATCGCATTTACTCCCTTCCTGGGTCCGGGCATCAAGTTTTTTTCTTTATGGTTGCGCCAGGAAATCATCACACTTGATGGAACACGTGAAGAATATCGGAAGTTCATAGAACCTTGCCATGAACACAGTGCATATGAAGTAAACCGTGACCAAGAAAAGGATCTTCTACTGCGGAAAATGGATGAAAAAAAATTGCGATTCACGCCTAGGATTCATTGCTCTGAGAACGGAAGCCCATTTCCGGGGTTGCGCAGACTCACTTTTCCGCATCCCAGTACAACAGGAAAATTCTGTTGAAATGGATGGATAAATTATTGGCTGCAATTTTCCAAGTGTGAAGCGAAGAAAAACATTACCCTATCCTGGCGAGGAACAAATCTTGTGGAATATTCCATGAAAAATCATGATAAAAGTATGTAAGGCTAGATGATCAAATCATTGACTGAATTTTGCTTCTGCTACATTACATGATGAATTTAAACAAGTTTTGGTGCTGTGAATGGACAAAATAATGTACTGTACTGTATGTTCTGTTTTATAATCAAACACTCATTAAAAGCTATTCAAACACCATTTTGTCTGATAGGAACTTAGGAAGGGACATGAAAAATGAATTCCTTGCATAATTGTTTGTAATTATATGAATTACCGTATTTACTTGAGTACCATGTGCACCTTTTTTCTCAAATTTCAGAAGAAAAACAAGGGGCACGCATCATAAGCGTGTACAAATTTTTAAATAAGTTTTAGGAAGTTATGTGTGCATTATACTTAATTATAATTGAAAAATTTTGAACAAATGTTACAATAAGAAAACTTTTTTGTACTGAAAAAGTTGAAAGTTGAACCAATTTTTGTTCAATTCATGTCTAAAGTCAAATTTTTCAAATTTATTTTTGAAATTTTGTGGTTTTAGATTCACTAAAAATTGGGGTGCGCATCTTTCTGGGGTATACAATTTTAGCCAAATTTCCATCTGAAAAACCCCTGCGTGCGCCTTACTCAAGGGAGCATGGTACTCAAGTAAATACAGTACAGTATATTGAAATTCTACCATACATGTGGGGCCCTGCAATTTGACCCTAACACATTGCTCCTGTAGTGCCGTGTATAAGGGTCGCATTGTGAAGAGGTCAAATTATGAGACAAGGTCAAAATATATATTTTCTACATGGAATTTGCAATTGTGAGCCTGTTTGCAGGAGGTCAAATTGCAAGTCAACATCCCAGCAAAGTCAACCATCGAATAGAGGGATGGTCAAATTGCAGGTCCAATTGTAAGGTAC